GTTCCCCTTTATTTGACATTGGTGAGGCCTCATCTGGAGTACTGTGTCCAGTTTTGGGCCCCACACTAGAAGAAGGATGTGGAAAAATTGGAGAGAGTCCAGCGGAGGGCAACAAAAATTATTAGGGGTCTGGAGCACATGACTTATGAGGAGAGGCTGAGGGAACTGGGATTGTTTAGTCTCCAAAAGAGAAGAATGAGGGGGGATTTGATAGCTGCTTTCAACTACCTGAAGGGGGGTTCCAAAGAGGATGGAGCTCGGCTGTTCTCAGTGGTACCAGATGACAGAACAAGGAGCAATAGTCTCAAGTTGCAGTGGGGGAGGTCTAGGTTGGATATTAGGAAACACTGTTTTACTAGGAAGGTGGTGAAGCACTGGAATGTGTTACCTAGGGAGGTGGTGGAATCTCCTTCCTTGGAGGTTTTTAAGGCCTGGCTTGACAAAGCCCTGGCTGGGATGATTTAGTTGGGAATTGGTCCTGCTTTGAGCAGGGGATTGGACTAGATGACCTTGAGGTCCCTTCCAACCCTGATATTCTATGATTCTATGAACATAAGAACGGCCATACTGGGTCAGACCAAAGGTCGATCCAGCCCAGTATCCTGTCTACCGACAGTGGCCAATGCCAGGTGCCCCAGAGGGAGTGAACCTAACAGGTAATGATCAAGTGATCTCTCTCCTGCTGGCCATCACCATCCTCTGACAGACAGAGGCTAGGGACACCATTCCTTACCCATCCTGGCTCATAGCCATTAATGGACTTAACCTCCATGAATTTATCCAGTTCTCTTTTAAACCCTGTTATAGTCCTAGCCTTCACAACCTCCTCAGGCAAGGAATTCCAAAACTCCTTTGTTGGTTGTGAGCACCAGCTCAGAAACATGCTGAATCCAGACAAGAGGAAGTCGTCCCGGGGAAATAGCGGTGGGGTGGGAAGATCCCAGAATGCTGGCATTAAGTGCCCAGGATCAAGAGCCCTGTAGTATAGGGTGGGGCAGGGCTCCCCTCTCTCTTGGCCAATTGGGAAAAGCTTTCAGAAGCAGACTAGTATATATGCCTCCTTCCCTCTCAGACAGGGTGCGCATGGACACAGGAAGGGAGGGAGACTGAGCCAGAAGGCTGGGCTTCCGTTGAGCAGAATTAGGGCTCAGTGGAGGAGAGGAGCATTGGTATGAACTATGGGGTTACTATGATGAACCTTGCGTTTGGGACACTGAGGCAAATGGCAACTCTGCTACATGGACCCTCAAAGGAACTGCAGAACCATCCCAGGCAAACAGGCTCTGAGTAGACGGGTTGCAGTGTGCTGGGAGTGTTGCATCCCTCTGCAATAATGATTTGCACTGTTAAATCGTTAGCTGTCAAAGCACTTAGCAGAGGCACATAAGTATTACTGTCCCCACTTTACAACTAGGGTGACCAGACAGCAAGTGTGAAAAATCGGGACAGGTGGTGTGTGTGGTGGGGGGTAGGGTAA